CAAAACAATACCTGGAGACGCTTCAGCCTTGAGAAGAATCCAGACTCTACCTCACAGGACTTGAACGAATAACACAAATACCCCTCCCATCCCAAGGGGTGTTTCTGGGTCAGGACTCCCTTTCTCTGGACATTTTCCCAGCATACTATCCTGCTTCTTTGGCTGACCTTTAAAGCTAAAACCTCTGGAATGAAGCCCATGAGAGATTGTGATAAGGCAAATTCAATGGCTTTGGGGCTCACAGAAATGTTTTTCTAAAGCTAAGCAGAACCCCAAAGGCCTCATAGAAGCCATTCTTTGTCTATGAGGTTAATACAACAGACCCCCCCACACACTCCATCATCGTCAGGTTACGGCCTTTGATGGATTTTTCTAGTCCAGGTTTCCCTGTTCTGGTTCAGTCTCATCATGAGAAACATGCCATGTGAGAGTAGCTAGCCAAGGCAGGGCTGAGGTTCTTGGCTGTGAAGAGCTATCCCGTGCAAGGCCAGATGTATCACATAGGGATCAGATGGGATTAGCCATGCATCTACTCTCCCGCTTACAACATGCCTACAGATTTACCAGGGAAACTCAGTCCATTTGCATACAGCCTAGAGGGCTAGCCATGAACACCCAGAACTCACTCTCCGACACTCATCAGCATTTAAGAATCCTATTATTCACAGACCAAAATTAACCAGGAAACCAGGCAGCAGCATCTTTGAACAAGGTTCTTCCTGCTCAAGATCATTTTCTACTTACCTGGAAAATCATTCTGAGTTTACATGTACAGATGACATTCAGTCTTAACATTTTAATTCAAATGTGATTAAACACAATATGCTAATGCAAAATGCTTTATAATATACATAAATATGATATAATTGTCCTTCAGATATTTTCAGTTTCAAAATTGAGCCCAGACTGGCCTCAAATTCAGTATATAGATGAGAATGACCTTGAACTCCCAATCCGCACACCAGCATGCCTACTTTATGAGGTACTAGGAACTGCACTCAGCTCTTTGTACAATACTATCAACTAAGCTCTATCCCCAGCCCTCATTCTCTACATACTGCCCTTTCTTCCCTTCCATCTCAAGCAAAGGTAAATGAGGGAAGATGGTACCATCCAGGGCCATCGGCTTGCATTGTTTAAGTGCAACATAAAACTGTTTTTGAAACAGTTTTAAATGAAATAGAAAATCACTCTCCTCGTGTACAAAACTCACCTAACTCAGCCATTTGACATCTACATATCTTCCATTAAAAAAAAAAAGTCCTCCTTTCACCATATCTAAATAACATTTAGGTCTCACTTATTTCAACCTGTCCCCTCTGATTCGAATTCAAGGAAAGTTTTACCACAGGCCTGTGTGCTGAGCAGTGCATAGCGACCCCTGCTTTGTTATCTCAAGGTTTATCATCTTACAGACAGAGTTCAGTGACTTTCCCGCTCACAGCCTTGCTAGTCTTCACACCCACATGCTCACTGGGGGAGCCCCATGTAAAGCAAATCCCAGGGTAGCTTCCAGCTGGCTTTAGCCTTGTGGAAACCGGCACAAAACGTGACATGGCTGGTGGTGAGGAAGGCTGCTACTGGTAATCTCCGGCTTGGAATCAATGATTATAGGCAATTCATAGAAGGATAAATACAGCAACTGCGCCCTGCAAACCATCTGTTCACAAGAGATCTTCTCCCAGATTCAATTAACGAGAAATTCATTCCTCTCTATACAGATCTCGTCTACCAACAATTAATAACATGTACCTGACCTTATTCCTTTATATTTCCATTCCCTAACCAGTAGGCTGTTAACTCAAAGACTCGGAGGATACAATTAGTGGCAGCGGACAAAGGCTGCTTCTTCTTACCCCAGGCATGCCAACAGCCATGCATATCACCTACCCTGCGGCACCCTATTAAGGGTTGGTAGTTCTAGATACTCCAGGGGCTCCTATTCAGAGCTCAGTTTGCCAACTCCAGGCATCCCACAGCCAACATAGCAAGCAAAACTTGATATATTCTGACACAAGAACAACCACTAGCAATGACGATAGCTAGGCATCACTTCAGAGTTTTAAACATAAACCATTCATAAAACCTAAGAAAACATAATGCTATCTCCATAACCAGAGGCAAGAACTACCCTCATTATTGCTCCCTTCTAGAGGGCCTTTTTGCTTGTTTGATTGCTTCTCCCATTACTCTGTATGTCTTATCTTCCCGGAACAGAAAAGAGATCCACCTCCACTTTTCTGCAGAAATCTCCAGGCCAGAAATCTTACCCTTAAATGCTAACATGCTACACAAAACACTGTACTGATAGTCTAAGTAGGCAGCCAACACTGTAAGCTTCACCGTGGTAAAAACTCACTACTTTCCTCGCCTAGGATATCATACTAAATATATACATATACATCATAAATGACTTCAGAAATAATAAGCAAGTTCTTGATCGAATTTGTGATACATGAGCGAACTCCCCGGACCTCCAGCACAAAACATGAAAACATTCCAGGAACATTGGCAAATTATTTACTGCCCTAAGCTGAACCATGGCCGGTTTATTGCTAGAAAGAAAGAATCACAGAAGGATGGCCAAAGTGTTAAAAGGTCAGTGCAGTAAAGGATGAATACGAAATACATTGTCCCTTTACAGTGCCATGATGGTGCGCACGCAGGAACTCAATTTACCCCACCTAAGCCAACAGCTTTGTGCTCCTTTCATTTGCCTGAAAACGTTTTACTCTGTACAATAGCAGATCTTTTCACACTAGCTATTGCAGCAATTCAGGGCTCCTCTGTAACCCCTGGGAGAGCTTTATTTCCACAATGGGATTGTAAAAACTACAGTAAACAGTAGTTAGTGGTATGTATATAAACTTCCTTGGTTTTACTTTTGACATGGAAAGCCGTGGCTCTTCGCTATAAAGACATTTGTAAGAAGTCAGAAGAGGTTATAGGACACTGGCATGTTTGCTTGTTCAAAGCGAGCAGATGAGAGAACAGTGCTGCCCTCTCACTAGAGGCGACTGGACTCTGCAATCTTAGCTCAATTCTGAGTCCAGGAGGACAGAAGTGTCTCTCTACCCTTGCAAGTTGAGAAACCTCCCATTATCAACAAGTCCAGGTCCTTCTAAGCAAGTATTAGTGAGCACTGACTGGATATTTGCTTCCAGTCTACTGAGCTACCAACTAGAATTCAGGGAAAGGGGGATTTTACTCTTTCCTTCTGCACACTGGATAGAAGGATTCTTTAAGCAACAAGATCCCCAAAGGAGCCATCCTGGACCAGAGTCTTAGATTCCAATCATGGCTGTACAGTTGGGGTCAGTCTCCTGTCCCAGTGTCCTGGTCTGTTTTATGCCCATTGTGCACCACGGTTGTTTTTGAATTAGTGTGGCTTTGAGAACTTAGCCTCCAATGCGGCTGGCTCCAGATGCTTAATGTTGGCTGAACTGAAAATGTCTCCCGAAAGATTGGACAGATGTGTTCTTTCTGTCTGTCAGCCTTCCTGTAGGCACTACTGAGATTTATTCGGTGCTAAATTGTAAGGTTTGGTTTGAAGACCTGAATGGACTCCGTGTTTCTTTCACGGAAGAGGTCGATAGAACCCCAAGAGGTAATTCTCCTGCAGGTGGCAGACACTCAGGCAACAAAATCTGACTGGGTGCTCTAACTTCTTCAGGGACCCCAAAGAAGCGACAGGGACATAAACCATGCTTCTTGCCCTGGTCTCAGCCCTCCACTGGCTTCTCTAGAATACTCCTCCCTCCAGGAGGGTAAAGAGCAACACCTCCCTCTCTGTCCTCTGTATGCGCACAGCTCCTCCTCAGCTTATTTCTAGAAGCAGGCAAAGGAATTCATTCCCCCAGTCGAATTTTTCCCCAGTGGCCAGAGCGGGGAGGGGGCTGGCCCAGCATCCTAGGCATGCACAGAGTTCAAATGAAATGGTCTCAGAAATCATCTGTGCTCTCTCGCTTCATCAACACCAATGGTTACCTTCCTAGGAGCCCCGTGGCACCATGCGAACACTCCAAAACGTCCCTGTGGCCCTTGGGTTTTACACTCAACCCCATTTGAGCTCCAACAGGATTCCCTCCTTGAATCAGTCTCAAAGTTGTGAGGTCCTTAGGAGGGGCACTTACAGAGCACTCTCCAGTCCCGTTTCTGGTAGGGACAAGGGAAAGAGGACAAAATCCAGGGCTTTTAGGCCAGAATACAAATCGGTAGCGCTGGCTAGGGTCCCATAAAAATGTATTGGCATTTCCCTCAGGATAGCGAATGGAACGAAAACCCACCAAAGGCACCTCATCAAAACATTCCTGCGACACGCTGCAACAGGGTACCTCATGTTCCACCCCAATAGAAGATTCCGAAGTTCCCCTAGCGGAACCCAGCCAGTGGCTTTCAAGGTCTCCCAGGTTCCTTCCCACCCAGCTCCGGGGGCCCACATTTGGATCCCAGCCAGGCGAACCAGCAGCCAGGACCCCTCTAAATTCGTGCTTCCCTTCTGGCGTCCCGCCCCCTTCCTCTCTCCTCCCACCCCAGCTCCAGTTGAAGCGCTCCAGGCTCACCAGAGCCCAGCAGTTCTGTGGCCCAAGAGGTTAATCCAGACTTTCCCCTTCTAGTTGGGTCCAGAGGCGTTCTCACTCTTTGGCCTCGCAAAGGTCTCTACCTTCCCTGCCACGATTACTCGCAGGGGTGTTTCCTCAAGTTAGTAGCCCTCCCGGACTGTCCAAAGGTCCAAGGTGAGTCTGAGTCAGGGCAGAGGCACCCCAGATTTTCCAAAGACCCTACCTGTCCCGCACAGCTTGTAAAAACAAATTAAACAGGGACCCCAGCAACTTCGGGGCATGCGTGTGATGGTGCAAGGACCGAGCATCGCCCCGGAGTTCGGGCCGCAGCTGCAGAAGTACATCTGGAAAAGGGGGAGGGGTCCAAGGAAAAGGGACAAGAAGTCCCCAACAGCTAGTTTCTAGGTGCAGTGCCTGAGTCACCGGGGATTGGGTTACCTGTCCTACGTTGATGAATCCGTACTTGCTGGCTATGCGGTCGGCCTCCGCGAAACCGCCAGCGATCTTCACTGCCCAGTGGTTGGTGTAGACGCGCGTCCGGCACACTGGGAGCAGGCAGCCCGCGAGCAGCGCCAGCACGCACAGCAGGTCCCGCCGTCCAAGGCAGCAGCAGCGGCTCCTCCAACCCCAGCCCATGGTCCCGGCGCCTCGCAGCTTCGCTCGCCCGGCTGCTGGCTCGCGCGCTAAGCGGCGCGCACAACTAACTTCTCCGGCCTGGGCCGGCGGGGCGCGCAACCGGGAGCGGTCGGTAGGAGGCAGAGAGTCCGGGAGAGGAGCGGAGCGGAGCTGCGAGCCCCTTGCAGGCTCCTAGACCATCCCTGTGACAGTGGGGACCCGGGCTACAGGCTCTGGGCCGGCGGGGCGGTGGGCGAGCACTCCCCGGCTGGCACAGGAGGAGGTGGAGTGGGACTGGCGCCTCAGCCGCGGGCTCTCCGGACTCCGCTCCTGCACTCTTCGGCTGCCTCTCGTTCCTCTCGGGGGGTCCTGGAGCGCGGTGGAGACGACCGGCCCGAGCTCAGACAACGACCAGGCGCCCCCGCTACTCGCTTGCTCGCTCGCCCGCTCGCTGCGCTCCCTCAGGCTCTGAGCAGCGCGCGGCGACTGTGAGTGGCGACGGTAGCGGCGCCCGCTCCGCATAAATGACTTCCCCCCGCCCCCGGAGCACCCCTCCTTTCCCTCCCCTCCCTTCTCCTCTCCTCCGCCCTCACGAGCCTGGCTCAGCCAGGCGCCACCCAGGTCCTAGCGCCTCCCTGTTCTTCCCACTGTAACCTCTAGGGTCGGGGACAGTCTCCCCAAAGAGCTGAGAAGAGAGCACCCATAGGGTCTTGGTTTCTATTCTTCTCTCTCCACCAGTATGGATTTGAATTAATTTGCCACTACTCTGGAAAGTCTAAGATTTACACGATGATAAGACGGAAGTATGCCAAAGATTCATTCATACCGGCTCTAAACATCTTGTACTAACTAAGCATTTTAAGGTCACTGGTGTCTCAATTGCTGAACAAATAACTCGAGATTTCCACTCGACTGATTCTTTATGCTTTTCAGCAACTGTTTATTTTGCATGTTCTGCTCCCGGGAGAAGCTGCCACACAGGACAGTGAAGTCTTATCCACTCTTACAAAAGCCAAAGCCAAGTCTGTCGCCTGCTGACTTTAGAGATACTCTGATACTCAGCAACAGCGTCACAGGAGAGTGAAATCCCAGGCTCGAAATGAGAAAAGATAGCTCTAGGGATATCTGGAGTAGTAGAGGATGGGCAAGTGTCTGTTCCCAGGGAGTGGCCGTTCGTCGAATGGGCTTCATCTTCCTCATCAAAGGGAGTTTTCCAACTTTCCAAATATGACTTGGGAACAGTGAAGGATGATACTACAGAAAGGATCACAGAGAAAGTCGGATGAAATACCTTGTCTGTGTTAAAGCACAATGACTTCAGACAAAGCAGGGAACCATGCTGGGCCTCTTCAAGCTTCTCCAACCACACTGTCTTACTGCAGGTGAGGGGCCAAAGAGTGGCTTACTGTAAAAAAGAAAAATTAGACCTCATGAAATGGTTCGCCTGGCCTTAAAAGGACTTACTGTCCTGAATTCCCACCGCCCTTTCCCCTCTTCTCCCATTCCTTATCTTTCTGCCTAAACACTAGTTGAATGTGTCTGAGATTAACCCATTGCAGGATGATTTTATTATGTGAAGCATACCTGCAAACTTAATTCTACAAGTGCCTTGGAGCATAATTTAATTTTATGGCATTTTGCATATTGTATAAACATGCTATAATTTTGAATCTGACAAACTCAAAATAACATTATCCCTATATTGTAGGTCAAAGGTAGATGAGAAAACAGATACCCTTTTCAGAAGGATGTGTATTCTATTGATTGTGCAATTGACTGGTTTAACACATCTGTATGAGGACCTGGTATGGTTCCTCTCACATGGTGCTGAACATTGTGACCGGGGGGGGGGGGGGGGGGGGCAGACACACATAAAATATTAGTGGAATTTAGGCTCAGAATTTTCAAGAGTAAATGTGGCTCATTGTTATTCCCATTGTTTTTGTAAAAGGAGAAACATGGGCACTCTGCTTGGTTTTAGAGTGTTGGTGTAGTCTGGCTACTGGCCAGTCCCTTTGGACACAGCTCTTAACCCCCACACCCTGGGCTGCAGAGTAAGGGGCAGGGAGAGAGGGAGAGAGATTGGTCTGTCAACTGCTAACTGCCATCCTGAGCTTCTGCAGCTAGGCAGCTCAAAGTGGCTGAGCTCCAGAGAGAGCAAGAGGAGCTCACTGAAGATCTATTCTCAGCAAGTCCATAAGGGACAGAATTGGGGGGATTCGCTCTCTGTGGGGCAAAAGCACTTGTCTGACCTTGTTCAGCAGGAGGAGGCTCACAGCCCAAAGTACTTTGAGAGTCAAGGTTGAAGCATGGCCTTGAGATTTCTCTCTAGGACTCTAGAAGTCTCTCAACAGCACACACACACCAAAAAAACAAGCAAGCAAGCAAGCAAGCAAACAAGCAAACACAAAACACTTCTCTTGGAATCCATGTTGCCTCTGGGTTTGAGCTTGTGAATGAAATAAAGAGGAATGCCCGAGTCTCCTGAGGGCTAAATACTGTTTCCCTAGCATGACAAAACTGCTCGCTATAAATTTTTTTTTGCTGTGTTTACGTTTCTTCACTAACACTCTTGCGTTCCACACGTGTGTCCTGCCTGGCATACCCAAACACGACAAAGGTAGACATTGGGGGAAATCACTTAGTCAATTCTTGGACCAAGGTTTAGTTTCTTCAAGGACATATTTTTCCTTTTTGATATAAGTATATTTTTTTAAAAAAAAGTCCAGCTGATGAGATGGTATTTACCACCACACCCGGAAACCTGAGTTCAACCCCCAGGGCCCACATGGTGAAAGGAGAGATCTCCACTCCAGCATGGTATCCTCTAACCCTCACAAGAATCACACAGACACACAGACACCATGCACACACACACACACCACATACACATACACACACAACAAATAAATGTATCTATATGACATCCCTGTCTTTTGATAAAGACACCTTCACCTGATTTAAAGTCTTCATTAGCCCTCTCACATCCTTGAGCGGAGTCTCCCTTGGTCAGGAATGTAGCTTTCAGAAAAGGACCAACAACTAGAGAAGAGGACTGGTTTATTTTCTACCTTTAGGTACATGCGAGTTGTGACAGTCTGCTTTACCACAGATACTCAGAAACTAAAGGGAAAGGGAGCTGATGGCATAATGGTGGCTAGTACACCATCCCTGACTAGAGACAGGCAGTCCATGTCCAAGGTGGATGAACACTGCCTTTTTTGTATGCAAAGAATATCACCTTAAGATCTGACCATAGGGCTGGAGAGATGGCTCAGTGGTTAAGAGCATTGCCTGCTCTTCCAAAGGTCCTGAGTTCAATTCCTGGCAACCACATGGTGGCTCACAACTCACCTGTAATGAGGTCTGGTGCCCTCTTCTGGCCTGCAAACATACAGAATATTGTATACATAATTAATTAATAAAAAAATCCCCCCCAAAAAATCTGACCATAGATGTTCCCTCTATAACTGCCATATGGTGTGAAGTCAGACAGTTTAACACTGTTACTCTGTCTTATAATACCTATAAGATATGACTTCACAATGAGGCCCCACTAGTGTTTAGCCTCTCCGCCAAGACCTAAAATAAACGTTACATGAACTCTAAGCAGTCGTGTCTAAGTAAACAAGAACTCCATAAGGGCGTAGTATCTTGACATTGCACTCTGGAATTATTCTGGGAAGGCTCTGCATTATAGGATACTTCCTGTCTTCCCAGATGAAAATTAACCTTTAAAATTTCTTCTAGGCTTAAATTTTGTAAGTCAATGATAAATTCATAATGGATACTTTGGAGCTGACCAAGGGGGAAAAAATGGAGCTGTATATTTCACAGCTCAGTGGAAGAGTCACCCAGTCACGTGATCCCAAACAGCTTTCCAATATGTGAAATTCAGGGAGAGTAATAAAAATTCATCAGATTTAATAATGGTAATAGTAATAAGTTATGCAAATAAGCCACATTTATTAAGCATTTGTCATATGCCAGGCGCTGAGCCAAATATATTTCAAGTCCCAGGATCATTCACAGAATATCAAAGTTGAAGGGGACCTTAGATAGCACATTATCCAATTTTATTTAATAGATAAAATCACAAAGTTCAATAGAAAGCCACTTTGAAAGACAGTAATCTAATCAGAGAAAAATGAGTTAGATGGAAGAATAATACAAATAAAACAGAGAAAAGGCTACATTAGTCAACCACAGTAGTGTGCTGTGAACTAGAATTAACATTAGCCTCATATATACTCAGGCTAGCCAAACAAACACAATCAGGAAAATAGACATTTGACTTCCCCTCAGACGTCTCAGGTGTTGAACCCACGCCGCTTTAAAAATATGATCCACGATGCATAACATCCCCAAGACAAAGGTTAGCTCGAAGCTTGCTGTCACATTTACTACAGAAATATATATTCTGTGATCGTAAGAGGGGACACATCCTGCAAGCCTTAGGAAACCTGAGTTATTTCTTTAACATGTTCAGAGTTGACTTAAAAGGGCATTGTTGACTACCTTCTCTAAGCATTTAAAGCCTGCAGTGACAAACTGATCCTCAGGAAGCTTTCGGTGGTGATATGGTTTCATGACAATATCTACAGAGATTCCCCCCCACACACAAAAAAAAATATTGTACTTTAGGAAGATGTGGCAGTAAAGTTAATGATACCTCCTGGGGTCCTTCTGTCTTAACCTGCTAGGCTACCCAGCCTATTCAAGTTTAACGCTCCTTGAAGAGAACAATGTAACCAGCCTTACTATGCCTTGGATTGCCCATGTAATGAGCTTTTACAACTTCAGCCAGTGCATAGCTTTAATTTAAGCTATGTACTGTTCCATGTCCCCAAACTAGAGTAATATAAGTATGTATGGATGTGGTAATCGCTTGCTAAAAGCAGCCAACATATTGGAAGCACATTGTACAACAGATATGCGCTATACATATTAGAGAGAACATGTTATGTCTGTTTGTGGTTATGTTTGCTCTTTGAGTTGGTTGGGGTCAGTAAAATGACTTCTCCCTGAGTAAAAGTCTGTTAAAGATTTCTGTAAAAATCTTTCATTCTTTTTCCATGCCGTGTGTGTGTGTGTGTGTGTGTGTGATGTTTAATAAATACAGAACAAAACTCTTTGTTGGGGACAGCAAAAGAAACAAACAGACACAGATGGGTCAGTAATCACAAAGTACAAACAGATAGAACACACAGGAGAAAAAAGAGTGATTCATTTGGGCTCACTCTTGGTCAAATTAATCCAAAAGGAAGTCTGTGTTTTCATTCCTTAATGTGACACGAACACATTCTGGTGCCTCTGAGGTCATCTTTGATGTGCTAACCTACACAACCTTCCAATTGGAACAGAAAGTGTGAAGATTGTGGATGAGTTGTTTTTCTCAAACAGGAAAGAAATGAGACAGCTTGAGTGTCTTTTCCTAGCTTCTAGTTTCCATCTAGCTGGTCCCACAGCAATTGTCCCCTTCATGATGGAAGTGGTGGATGG